AAATTCTACCCGTCATACCTAAAGGAAGAAGGCATGACATCGTCAATCCTATGATTAACTCTTCGTATTTGTGGAAATATTGCATTGTCTTACGCTTGATAACTAACATGCGTCTACAACACATGTCCCGCGATGACAACATAGAGAGTATGCGAGAATTTACATAGTGGATTGCGAGTATTGGTGATGTTTTTTTTGGGCGAGAGAATGATGGAGTTGGCGAGGTCATTATCCCAGAAGATATGTTGTTAAAAACTTTAGTGTTAGACAATGCGTGCAACTCTAGAGGGGGGGGGGGTAAATAGAGTTGTTTAGAATGTTTACCAATTTTCGCAGTGTGTGTAAATAAAAAATAATGAGAGTGTAGCGGAAATAAAAGAGAGAAGGCAAAGAACACACTCATGTATACTGGTTCACCACCTCGTGGCTAGTCCAGTTCCCCGAGAGACTCTCTCGAAGCTACCACTACTTATCAAGCTTCAACGGGTGCTTGACAAACCATTTACAACTCGAGAACTTGAATCCCACAAGCCTCAACAACAACCGCTCGTAGATGTGGCCTCTACAAGACTTCACACCTTAAGTCACATAAGTCTTGTACAACTAGAAGATTAACCTTCTTCAACCTCACAACAAAACTCTCACAAGAGTAGAAATGAGAAAATGATTAAGCTCTATGGATGACAAGAACACTCTCTTGAAAAATAAATAGTTTTGTAACACCCGCCTTCCGTGGACCCGGTTCACCCGCGATCCGACGGACCGGTAGGGTTACATGGGCAGTCCGAGAACCGTCCGTAGAGGAAAATGCATTCATGTCCATTTATTTTGGAAACAGTTGTGATTAATTGGTGTAATAAATGCTAAGAGTTATACCCAAAACGTGAGCGATATAAATGTAGAGTAAAAGCGGAAGTGAATAAATAAGTCCAAAATAGGTGAAATGACATATGGTGGGTTCATGCCCAAATGATTAATTTATTAAATGTATTGAAATATTGAACTTGTCCGTGCGCCGCCCATCCTCCCACCATCACTGTCCTCCAGGGTTAGCACCCGTACCGTCATGTCTACCTGCGTGTAGCAAGGAAAACAACTACACACTCTGCAAAAGGAGAGGAGTGAATCTAACAAAAGAACATGAAGTGATAACCCATATGGTCATACACATATTAATACCTGTACTTAACGTACGGAAAAACACATGTTTACTAACTGACTAATTTGTACTTGATGGGATATTATTACACATAACAAAATGATATACTACCACATTGAATATGGACATGATGGGGAACATACATGATGATGACAACCACATTGAATGTTGACATGACATGAACATACAAGATGACGATATGACCTGATGCTTGATACCCCTGACTTAGTCTCACTTGACAGGATCACCCCTGCACTCCGGTAATGAGCCGGGCTTGACAAAACGTCGCAAGTGAACTAGCAAAACTGGGTGGTAGCCGTAGCCTGACTACCATGTACGTATACAAAGCCCACATGATGAAAACCCGTTGGATCCCAAAGGTTCCTGGACGGGCCCACTGTAGTAGGTGCACGAAAGCCTGACCTCCCTACAACGGTATGCACATGATGATGAACCTAGGACATACGTCTAGGATGAACATGATGACATGAATGCATTGATTGAAGAAAGAAGTTAAATTTAACGCATACATATGGGTTTGATTACAATTTGTTCAACATGATGGCCTTAGGTTCAGAACTGGCTGATAATCGATTGTTTACTGTTGATAATCGATTATCATGTTGTGCAGCTTTTGTCCCCAAAGTCCTGCAGGCTGTGATAGTCGATTGTCACCCTATGGCAGTCGATTGTCGAGTTGGTTTGTTCGGGAAGTCCTACGTTCAGAGAGCCCTGATAATCGATTATTGCCTATGTGATAATCGATTATCAGTGAAGCCAACTCAGACCCAAGAATCCGCAGGGCCTGATAGTCGATTATCACATATGGGATAATCGATTATCACGCTGTGCTGAATCAACTGAGGAGTCCAGCGTGGCCTGATAGTCGATTGTACTATCGTGTAACTCGATTATCAAGGCACGCTGACTTCCATTTTATCTGTTTGTTTGTCATCAAAACGTTGGAAGTACTAGAAACGAATGTTTATATTTCCATGCTAAATATCCGATGAACTTACAAGGTTTCAAAACATTTATATTAACGAGTACATAACTTGACAACATGGACACACATATGTTTGATGGTTAACCTACGAACATGCATAGATTCTACGTAGGTTGCGCACGATATTCCTATGAATATAACGACATAGATTATAACTAAATGTTCTAGAATTAGAGAGACAACTACTCACCTATAGTTGAAGGGGTTGACGGAATGATATGACGAGATGAACGAATGGATGACGATGAATGAACGACGAATGGTTTCTCGTGGTCACCTCCTTCTCTTCTTCCTCCTCGTCTACTCGCCGGAACTGTCTCCTTGGGCTACTACTGCTTGACCGAACAAGAGAAGGGAGAAGGGAGTTGAGTGTGTGAGTGGAGGTTACAAAATGTGAAGGGGAAGTGAAGAGAGAAGGGGAGGTTTAAATGGAGAACATGAATGGGAATTAATGGGTTACTAATGAGGAGTTAAAGAGAGAGGAGTTACGGGAGAGGAAGGGTGTGGCGTGGGAGAGGATTGGATGGGGAGTTATCTCCCTAAAATTTACTCCGCTGTGTAGAATTTGATCTGAACGGTACGCGGTTTTCCCCCCGAACGGGTCTGAATTGATATCCGTTTGTGTTTCCGGAATCACACAGTCAAAACGAATTTAATGACATGTTCAAATAATTTTTCTAAGAACTTTATTTTCAAACTTCTGGGTCCACCCCAATCATTAATTAATTTATTTAATTAATATTGAGAGGTCCATTATTAAAACATCTTTTTATATTAAAATACATTAGCTTTGGAAAGCCATTTAAAGAGATCAAAATCTCAATATTTATTAATTTAAAATAATGAGTCTCAATAAATAAATAATATTTATTTATTTAAAACTAGGCCGGTTTGAGGGCGTTACAAGTTTTTTGTCAAAAAAATTTATATTTGAGGAAAGAAATAACAGAGGATTAAAACCATAAGACATGGGAGTTTAGGAGTGCTTGTTCATTATAAAAATGACCAAAAAAATGAAGTTTATAAAGGGGTTGAAGGAATATATCTGTTGGAGCCTAGAAAAAAGAGCTTGCTGAAAAACCAATGAAAAATTGATTTTTTGAGCCAAATAATCGATTTTTTGGTATTGAGCAAAATTCCTTCAGCAGACGAAATGATAATCGATTTTTGTCAAAGTGTAAAAATTGATTTTTTAAGCAATAATGCCCAAACATGAAAGACACAATCATGTGTGCGGGGTGAAGTGCTTATTTGGAATTTAGCACTTGTTTTGGGCATGAAAATCAGACCAATGGGCTCCCTAATCAACAAATTTAATTCAAATTTGAATTATGAGTGTTTTGATGTAGAGAATGAGTCCCAAAAATATTTTGTGTGTCAAACGATGTACACGAAAAATATTTGAATAAAATATTTTTGCTTACCAAAAATATTTTCTAATATCAAAATAAATATTTTGATAAATATTTGACACACCTTTTGTAACTGACTCAATAAATGTATTTTGAACAGATATTTCAACCGACTCCAAAATAACTATAATTTTTATTTTAACTCTCACAAAAATAATTTTGGAGAGAAGATATTTTTGTCATCCTTACAATAATTTCTAAGACTCAAATTAATAAAAAGGTCTTCGGAAATTTTCTACTCCACCGAGTTGTCCGATAAGCGCTCCGAACGCGTCTCGGACTCCAATAAAATCCTGTGCATCTTCTTGAATACTTCAAGGAATTTGTACTCCAAGTATTCGTGTTTGTCGTTGTAGCACTTTGATCTTGACTTGAAGAAATTGTATTTGTCAATTATCAAAACATGTGAGTCAACACTTAACAACACAGAAAGAGTTGAACTCATGCATTCCAACATATAGGTGATCCAATTGCATCTATAGTAAATTCAACATATCCAGACTTCCACAATATTGCAAATGATCCAACATATTTGCAAAGTTGAGCAATCTTGACACCAACACTAGAAGTCGTGAGTCGGAGAAGCAAAAACTTACTTGAGTTCTGATGCAGTGTGTAAATTTGATTCAAACGTAGACTTCTTATCGGACATGCATTCTCTTGAATTTCTGAATAACATACGAGAATGTGGTGTACCAAACCATGAGTTGAAGTTAAAGATCATAACACCAATCATGTTGTTGAGGAATATTGATCAATCTTCTGATTTGTGCAATGAGACAAGGTTGATTGTTACCCGATTTGGCAATCATCTTATTCAAGCTACGGTGCTTACGGAGAAAAATATTGGACAAGAAGTTGTTATCCAACGGTTGTTGCTTACACCGTCAGATACGAGAATTTCTTTTAAGTTTCAAAGGAAACAATTCCCAGTTGTGATTTCATATGCAATAACAATTAATAAAAGTCAAGGACAATCATTGTCGCATGTTGGGCTTTTACTGAAGAAGTCAGTATTCAGCCATGACCAGCTTTATGTAGCGCTTTCACGTGTCCCAAATCGCAGAGGTTTAAAGATCTTGATATGCAATGATGATCCAGCCAAGATGAACCAAACTACAAATATAGTTTATAAAGAAATTTTCTAAAACTTATAATGTAATGGTTCCACAATCTATATCATTGCATACTTTCTCCTCTTAAATATTTCATTATATATTCATATGTTAATTGAATTTCATCGAATTTCAACATTAATATTTTCCCTAATTTTTAAGCTTTTATTTAGGCTTTGCAACGCACTCGGGTCGAGTCTAGTATAAATAAATAATAAATAAAATAAAATAAAAAGAAACCCTAAGAAGTGTTCTTCCTATTTGCGAGCTCTAGAGCTGCTGCTTCTGATTCGAAGTGTGGAAGCCAGCGTCGAGCTTCCATCTTGCCGCCGATAGCCACGATTCACTGCTCGTCTCCGCCCTTTCGCGGGGTTTAAAAGCCACCAAATCAACTCACTGCAACACATCATCTCTGGAGTTGTTCAGAGCTACGGCCTAGTCCCAACGGCACCCGACTGGTATTCAAGTCTCCCTCACGCGATTCCTCTCCAGGTTCGGCGTCTCCTTCAGTTTATTTATTTCTGTTTCTGAAAACAAACGGTAGAGAAACGAGAGATTGATCCAGAACAGATGAAGAATAAGAAACGATAAATCATCATTACCAATATGTCATACCCAGTGATTTTGTGTTGCTTTTGTTAATCCTGATTTTTTTGCAATGTAATTGTATAGAATAATTAACAAACTTGTTTTCAGTTTTATTCCCTAGGATACAAACATGTTTACTTATAGCACATTCCTGGGTAATTGGTAGAAACACAGTAATGGGAGCGTTTAAAATGACATTAGTTGCTTACACCAGTTCGTTTGGGTACCTACGGTGCTCCGTTTGTAAAAACGACGGTTCCTACCCCCTAACCCTCCCCCTAAACCCCCCACCCTTGCCCCACCCTTGCCCCCCACCCCAGCCCCCCCTCCCGCCCCCCTCCCTACCCTGGCAGTACACTACTTTGTTTAGCTTATTGGATGTGGCTGGAGAAGTTCAAATATGCTAAATTGGATTTGGTTGCGGACGTCCACCAATTTTGATCCAATTGGCTCACAGTCCTCTTCTTGATCATTATCAACCATTATGAAGTTTTTTAGGCCAGTGCATTTGATGTACATTGAATTGCATTACTACTAGGCAGCTAGTACCATACATTATATGCAAACCAATATAAGCTTGTTGGGTTACATATTCTATATCTTTAATCTCTTGTGTTTCAGGTGTGGGTAAGCGGGTAAAGACTAGGTTTCATACGAGCAAGAACCACTATCAACATGTCGGCAGATCCTCAGTCTGCTTTTGTAGATGAAGATGTTTCATCTGGCTCTGCAGATGATATGACAATGCTGGACGGGCAAGGTAAAAACCGGCCTGGAGCTCTAAACTCAGCGCGTCGCAAGAGAAGCCGCAAGGCAACAGGGGATGCTATAGTGGACGCCATGCTGGAGATTGCTGCCGCGTCAAAGATGAGGGCAGCTGCAACGATGAGAAACGAGGAGCGTTTTGCCATAAGCAAATGCATAAAGCTACTCGACGAGATGCAAGGCGTTGATCAAAATGTCTACTTCTATGCACTGGATTTGTTCGAGAATCCCAATGCGAGAGAAACATTTGTGTCTCTCAGGAATGAGAGGCGGTTGATGTGGCTGAGCGGCAAGTTTGCAGCGTCATCTAATTCGGCTCCGTAAGAGGTATTTAATGATCACGTCAACTCTAACTTACTTCCATACAGAGCAGCTGATGATAATTTTACCTCCAGATCCTCTGGATGTTTGATAAATCAATATTTTGCTTCAATCTTCTGCTTCTTTGAGTAGATACTGGAGACACACACATTGTGACTTGCAATGGATTTTTAGCTTCTTTGCAGCAGTATTTTCTTATTAATATATTGTTGGTGTGTTTTGAGNATGGATGATGATGGCTTAACTACTAAATACACGGATCCAATGCCATGGAAAGCGAGGGGAAATGAGGTGGGGGGGGGGGGAGGGGGGTTTGGTGGTTAGACGTATGATACTTGGAGGAGTTTACTAGGGGTACACCAGCATTGGAACACCATATGTAGATCGCGCAGTACCCTTTTCGGTGGAATCGATGCCCTTATCGGTGGGAGACAATTCTGGTTGGTCTGTTTCCAGGGTGGTTCTTGGTGTTTTTTTTTTACATAGTTTATCTTTATTGTGAAAATAAAAATATAAAAATTATAATGTATATTAAATTATTTATATTTTTAATATGAAATGTATATTATGATGTACTCCCTCCGTCCTCCTGTATTTGTCCACTTTCATTTTTACACACCATCTAATCCACTTTTTTAATCCATTTTATCTTGTAATTTCTATATTAAAAAATTATAAAAATTATATATTAATAATCTATATGTTAAGACAAATCAAACAAGATCACACATGACTATATTTAGGCTTACACATTGAGAGAATTTGATGAGTCAAAGTGCTTTGATGAACATTTCCAAAAGTCAAATTTGGACAAATACAAGGGGACGGAGGGAGTATATAATAAGGTTTACTCATAATATTAATATTATAAGTTAATATGAAATGTACGGAGTATAATGTATATTAAATTATAATTTATGAATAATACTTCGTGTATGAATATTTTAACAAAAAAACCAATATTGGTATCAGAGCGGCAGTTCTAGTACCTATTTTTATGCAACTGAAACTCCTCGATTTCGATACGGTTCCTCTCTCATCCATGTCTCCCACCTGCTTGGTTCTGGTCTGATTGTATATGTTTAAGTATATTTTTTTGTTGATTCAATGAATTATCTTAAATGCAATATTTTTAAATAATATTATGAAATTATATGTAATGAACTTTTTAACACTATATGCATTATAATAAAAGTAAAACAAAAAAATATAGCATTTAATATTTGGTAAAAAATGCTTATATTTATATTCAAAAGTAAACACCTCACAATCTATTTTAAATTCATATTTTTTTGAAAGCTTTTCGGGAATATATAACATTTTTTGTATGGTTTAAAGGATTTTCATTATTATTTAGAACTAATATTTTTAATCTTGTCTTAGTTTCACTTGTGAAACAAGATAAATTTGACCATGAGTGAACTTCAAATTGGTTAAAAATAATCCAACAAATGAAAATGCTTGACATTAACTTTAATTCATAGTCATAGTAAAGTATAAAGGGTTCATCGTCGTAAGTCTTCCTTTGATCTTCATTAATTGTGGATATATATTGTTTAAAATCATATGACAACTTTTTCTTTGTTATAGTCCAACTCTTCTACCAATAAATTATTTTGAAATCTATTAAGTAGATTGTCATCTTGGAATGACATACCACTAAGGCTGTGTTTGGAAAATGGTTTTTCAGATAGCTTTTGGCATCTTTGACTGACTTTGACTTGTTTGACTTAGCGAACCGCCAAGACCATTGTTTGGCTAATGGCTTTTTCATTTGGCTTTTTGATACAAAATGCCAAAATCTGAAAAGCCAAGGGGAGTAGCATTTGAACTTGGCTTTTGGAAAAATTATTTTTTTAATCATTTTTCTTGAAAGATATTTTTATAATATATGTAAAAAAAATAAAAATAAAAGTTAAAAAATTCAAAAATTAAAGAAAAAATAAATTTTAAGTTTTTAGTTTTCAAAAAATATATGAGAAAATCAAAAGTAAATTAAAAATCATTAAAAGGTTATACATTAATAATTTCTTATGAATTATATGAAAATGAAATTTCATACTCCACATACAAACGATTTAATTTTTACATGTACGAAAATAAAAAAACAAATATCGTGGCATACGCATCAAGGCAGTTGAAATCTCACGAGTGTAACTATCCTAGTCACAATCTTGAGTTAGCAGTTGTTGTATTTGCTCTGAAGATATGGCGTCATTATCTCTTTAGAGAGACGACATATAATCACACAGACCACAAAAGTCTAAAATACCTGCTAACTCAAAAAGAGTTAAACTTGAGACAAAGAACATGGTTGGAATTGATCAAAGACTACGACTGTTACATCGACTATCATCCTGGCAAGGCTAACGTAGTTGCTGACGCATTGAGCCGAAAGATGATAGCCGAACTCCGAATTCAGCCTACTCTTGAGAACGAAATTCACGTTGCACAAAAACGTGATGACTACTGTTTGAAGACTTGTCTCTAAGGGGGAGAGACAAGATTTCACCGTAAATGATGGAATTTTATTCCACCGGAATCGTTTGGTAGTTCCTAGTGGCGAAGTGAGAGAACGTTTAATGCGTGAATCTCACGAAACCACATATACCATGCATCCTAGCAGTATTAAAATGTTCCAAGATCTAAGAAAGTCATATTGGTGGCCCACAATGAAGCGGAAAATTTCTGAATTCACTACGCGATGTCTGACATGTCAACAAGTCAAGGCTGAACACCAAGTGCCAAGTGGATTGTTACATCCACCTACTAACCCTGAATGGAAGTGGGAACGAATTACGATGGACTTCGTGATCGGACTTCCATTATCAACCAAGAAGAATGATGTTGTCAGGGTAATCGTTGACCGATTAACCAAGTCATCTCATTTTATCCCAATTCGACGTGATATGTCTTTGAAGAAATTGGCAGAATTGTACATCTGTGAAATCGTAAGACTACATGGTGTACCTTTGTCTATCATTTTTTACCGTGACCCGCGATTCACGTCGCAATTCTGGAAGAGTTTGCAAAAGGCTCTAGGTACTAAACTCAACTTTAGTACGACATTTCATCCTCAAACAGACGAACAATCTGAAAGAACAATCCAAATCCTTGAAGATATGATGAGAGCATGTGTAATTGATTTCGGAAGCAACTGGGAACAATACATACCATTAATGGAGTTCGCTTATAACAACAGTTACCAAGCAAGTATCCAAATGGCCCCGTACGAAGCCTTGTATGGGAGACGCTGTAGAACCCTAGTATGCTGGATAGAATTAAGTGAGCAAAGGCTTGAAAGACCTGATCTTGTCCGCGAAACTGAAGAAAAGGTTCGTCTAATCAGAGAAAGACTGCAAGTGGCTTCCGATCGTCAAAAATCATATGCTGACTTGAAACATCGTGAGATCGAATACAATGTTGATGACAAAGTGTTTCTGAAAGTCTCACCGTGGAAGAAAGTGTTACGTTTTGGTAGGAAGGGAAAACTAAGTCCGAGATATATTGGACCCTATCGAATTATTGAACGTGTAGGTCTAGTAGCCTATCGGTTAGAACTTCCACCAGAACTGAACAAAATCCATGACGTATTCCATGTGTCAATGTTAAAAGATATCGTTCTGACCCATCGCATATCTTGACTGAAAGAATCGTAACTCTTGACGAACAATTGACTTATGAGGAGGAACCTATACAAATTCTAGCACGAGAAGTCAAACAATTGAGAAACAAATCCGTACCTCTAGTCAAAGTACTATGGAGGAATCATTCGACTGAAGAAGCAACATGGGAAACTGAAGAGTCAATGAGAACACAGTAACCGAATCTCTTCAACCAATGACTCAGGTAATTTCGAGGACGGAATTATTTTAAGGGGGAGAGAAATGTAACACCCCGAAAATAGGCCTATCAGAATTAATTAATTTATAATTAATTAATTTCTGATAAGGACCCAAAATTATGTAAATTATAAAGTTTATCAATAAATAATGAAAATTTTATCGTTGTTTAGAGTTTGACTGTCTGACCCCAACGGTTCAATCGGATTTCAATTTGGAGAAAGTTGGATCAAAAAGTGTACCCCAATTGGGACCAGAAATTAGTCCCAATCAGGGACTACACTCCAATCGGCGCTTATTGTTTAATCGGAGCACTAGCCGATTTTGGTGATTGTGGGATATTTCCTCAATTGGCTTCTTCTCCTTCTTCCCTCTATTTAAAAAGTCCTAACTCCCTCAATCCCTCACCAAATCATCCCAAATTTCTTTCTATTTTGCTGCCCTGAGTGAGGAGAGTTTGCTGGTGCTTCCAATTCAGAGAGAGGTCGCCGGAGTTAAGAGCTTTCATCGCCGGAAGTTTTGCTGGAAAATCGTCAAAACCTCCCTTACGTTTCAAGGTAAGCCCGTAGATATATCTAATGACTAGAATGTTCATATAGGTCGTTTCTACGTTCATAAATGGTCATTTGGTTGAGTTTTGTGTTTGACATGTTTGAAGAATCAAGAATCATAAACCTTGAAATTGTTATTGAAACTTCAAATTAATGGTTTTAAAATGATCTATGTACATTGGGGAACATTTCTATATACTTTAATTGAAGTTTGGTGACTTAAAATGATGTTTCGAAAATTGGACCCGAGGTTGAAGACGAAGTACTGTTGCTGTAAGGCAGCAACGGTCGACCGTACCGTCACCACGGTCGGCCGTTACCGGACCAGTGGCTTCAGTACAATGGAGGCAACAACGGTCGACCGTCACTTGAAACGGTCGACAGTTCCGAACAAAGTGAACTACGAAAATCCTATTTTTGAGTCCTAAAATCCTATTTTTGATACCAATTGGTTATATTTATTATAAGAATGATTTTTCACAATAAGAATGATGTTTTTAACAAATTAAAACACTATGTGATGCATGACGGTAAGTTCGAGTGTTAACACTCGAGAGTAGGCCACTATTTGTTATTAAATGTATGTTGATTGATCATTACAATGAATAATTATTATGGATGATTATGAATGATAAACCTACTGATTAGGATATTTATCAATGATTAAAAAATGAGTGTAATGGTGATCATGAAACCGGTGTATTGTTAAGGCTATCTCAAAGACCTCTAAGATAGACCTCAAATTAGATTGGGCCTTGCAGGTATAAATATGTATATTCGGTGGCCTTGGGTAAAAACGTACGTACGGGGTCCATAAACCAAACTAGAGGAACTCGTTTAGGGATACCACCCAACCCGACAGTTAGTATTCTACTGTTTGATTTTCTGGATTTGTACCTTAAGCGAAGGCTAGTTTAAGAGTTGGTAAAATAATCGGAATATGTACCTTAAACTAATGACCTAGCTTAAGAGTTGGTTAGAAGTACCTTGAACTAGAAATAGTTTAAGAGTTGGTAAACATCAAAAGATTGGCCTTAGACTAAGCATAATTTAAGGATATTGTTAGTATTGAATATTGAACATGAATGTTGATTATTGAGATATTGAAATAAAAATATTGAAAATATCATGAATGAATTATACATTGTGTGCATGATATCAAATGGTTATTTGTGAATTGAGATTCAATTTATGTAGATGTTCGACGCTTTAGATATACTTACTCAGCTTCATCGCTGAGCGTGTAGTATATTTTATTTGTTACACGCACGTAGGCAGAATGAATGATTGGCATGTTCCTGGCAGCGGAAGGGGCAAGACTGTCGTGGTGGAATTTGTGATTTTAAATAAATAATTGTGTTGTTATTAAACATGGTTTAAATTGCTTCCGCATTATTGTTAAACACTCCGTATTTTGCTACAGTTATGTATTAAATAATATTTATGATGAATAAAAGTATTTGAAATGTTTTAAATTTTACGATTACCAAGTTAATACTTTAGTCTGAAAGGGGCTGCAGACCTGGACAGATTAGGGTGTTACAATTTGGTATCGGAGCAAATGGTTTTAAAATCGATCTTCGGATTAAATTGTTTAAAAAATATAATATATATATATATATATATATATATATATATATATATATGATATGATATATATATTTTCGGCCCTTAAAAAAATGACGTCAATCAAATCCACGACTCTCGCACCCCTCCGCTCCATGAAGGTAATTAAAAAAAATTTGAGCATTGAAATTGACTGTATTAAATTTTATAGATGTCAACTGTTAATTCCGAAATGATATCAAGTGTTGATTCAAGTCGCACTTTCGTACTTGGTAAAAGACGAAAGAACAAACGGAATGTATATGACTCGTTGATACGATATCAACGTGCTCATCGCTTCGCGAGAATAATGAAACGAAGGATTTATTTGCGCCGCAAGGCTGCATGGGAACATGATGACCCAGAAGAGACGTTCAGCGTAGACTCTACAAACAGCATGTGCGGATCGGGCGTAGAAGACCCAGCTGTAGATTCGTCATGATCCAACCAATCGAACGCAAACGTTTAGAAATTATCTTGTTGATCGTTTCAAATCCATTGATTGTATCGACTGTTGTAATCCTTTGTAATTCCTGTCTTAAACTCAACTACTGAATAAAAGAATCCTAATAAAGGAATTTCTGTTATTGTAGAATGAGTCAAGAATTTGCCCACGGACAAGGCAACAACAATGAACACGTCAGTGTTCATACTAAAGCATCTAGTTTCACCCCTCCCATCCAAAATGAACCCAATGTTGGAAATAACCCGAACGCTGGTGGTCAACCCGACCTTGTGATTCCAGCTTTTCTGGCTAATGTGTTGCAACAAATAGCCAACGCGCCAATGTTTCAACCACCTCCACCACCGCCACCTCGAGTGATAACCTACAAAACACTAAGGGATAACGGTGCAGGAATTATTCCTTGGGGATCGCATCGGTGAACCTCAAATTACGTGGGACTGGATCGAGCAGACTGCTCGAGTGTTGGAGGACCTCAACGTACCCATGGACAACTACCCTCGACTGGCTTCTCAACTGCTGCGCAAGGAAGCCTACGAGTGGTGGAAGAGGACCGATGAGAGTGCGAGAACCCCTAAGCTGTGAACATGGGCACATTTCGAATGGGCATTCAAGCAAGAATATATCTCAAAACGTTTCAGCGAGGAAAGACGTAAGGAATTTGTTGAACTGGAATAGGGAGACATGACACTCCCTGAATATCGTCAGAAGTTTACCAAACTTGCAAAGTTTGCGCCAACCTTGGTGAGTACCTCAACCGATCACATCGAGGAGTTTAGGACGAAACTTCGACATGACCTCAGGTCACGTGTGTCCGTCCTTACCACCATGGATTTCGCAGAGGCCTATGAGATCATAACTAGAGCAGATAGTGACCTGAGTGCTTGCATAGAGTATCTAAAGGCAAACAATGCTGGCTCAAGCACTCACCGTCCCACTAACTCTGCCTCAAAAGGGAAAAGGCCCTTCCAGGAATCTAGTAATTCACATTTCTCTAAAAAGGGAAAATCTGTGCAAACTCAGTCGATGGCATCCGTTGATAAATCCAGGAAGCGAAAGTATCCTGCTTGCGAACACTGTGGAAGGAACCACCCTGGAGAATGTTGGTTGAAACAAGGGTTGTGCCTTGGCTATGGAAAACCAGGACATTTCAAAAAGGAGTGCCCTACAAACCCTGGAGAACCATTTCCACCTGCTCCCGTTGCTAGCCAGTCTGCATCAGCACGACCCGCACCAAGTCAACGTTCAACAGCGGGGTCTAAACCAGCCAAGAATCAGAACCAACAACAAGGACGAGCTCCTGCTCGTACATATGCAATGAAAGCACGAACTGAGGAAAACCCTGACGTCATTCAGGGTATGTTTTCCTTATTTGATACTGTCATGCATGTGTTGATAGAACCTGGATCAACGTTGTCTTATATCTGTGTACATATGCCTGAAAACGCTGACATAATGAAAGAACATTTAGAACAACCTATACTAGTGTCTAACCCGTGAGGACATAGTATGAGGTTAAATTATGTGTATCAAGACTGTCCATTGATTGTTGAAGGACATCAGTTCTCTGTCAATCTTATCGAACTACCGTACAAAGAATTTGTCATCATCCTCAGAATGGATTGGCTCACCGAACACCAGGCAGTTATCGATTGCCGACGACGAACGATTCAACTAAAGTCTGGAGAGGGAAAGTCTATAGAGGTGAAAGAAAAGTTAACAATTAGATCCACTGAATTCATCTCATACATACACGCTAGGCGTCTCATTCGAAAGAAATGTGAAGCCTATCTGTGTAACGTACGTGACACACGAAAGGAAACTCCTGAGTTGAAATGTGAAGCCTATCATGTTTTTATTTCCGATATAAGAGTTAAAATGCATTTACATTACCAAACAAGGTCATGTACATTACCAAAAAGTATAGTAACGTGCACATGTACAGTGTCACATTACAACCAGATTACCACAGTGCAAAACCTATTTCGGGAATGAAAACATGGAACTCATATTTTGCTACTTATTTCTATGTTTTAGTCCTATTTAGGAAGATTTCTATTCCTTGAAGCATATCTAAAATTTTTGTAATTGAATTTTAGGGGCATGAGTTATACCATTAATATGACTCTAAAATTGAGTAATTTAAGTAACAAATCTAAAAAGAAGGCCAGTTACATCACAAATTACTATATTTAATGTTTACTTAAATTTATAAGATTTAAAATTAAAAAAGAGCGGAAGTTATAATATACAATTTTTTTAATAATTTCTAAATAATGAAGTGTGACATTCTTTTAGGGGATTTCCAAAAATTTTGGACCTGCTCTATTTAGGCCAGGTTCTCCAATGTTTAGGGTCTGTTCCGCAGAACTTATTTTTTTACTTATTACTTATTCTTATTAAAATTAGTTCAAATCAGATCCAATCAAATAAGATCTAATCAAATCATATCAAACCCAATCAGATTAAATCAAAACAGATCATGAAATAAATAATATTATTTCAAGAATTAAATAATAATTACTATTCGATTAAATCATGTTACTTTATTTAAAGCTACACACACCTAAATATTAATTAATATTACAACTTTAATTATTATTATTATTATTATTATTATTATTATTATTACTACTACTACTACTACTCCGTATTATTTTAGGATGGATGACTTATTATTATTATTATTATTATTATTATTATGTGAACTGTAATTTGTAACATGCAATATATTATTATGTAATATGCATAAAGAATGTAATAGTTTTGTATAATGACATTCGTATTTTCTAATATTTGGTTATTATAATACTGTGTAATAATACATTCTTTTCACTATACAAAGCAAAATTGATTATTCCATTTTCAAAGAGATTAAAAAATAGTGATATTGAAAAGATATTTAATATTTCAAAGAAAATGTTTAGATATATTAATGATTAGTTATTGTCAATCATTTTGTTATTTTACATTTTTCTATGTATATATGAATTGTAATATCAATACTTTAAAATTATCAAATTTCTTATAATAATTACGGAGTATAGGTTTAATTTAAATCAAATTTAAATTCAAATACACCAGATTTAATCAGATCGGATTCAGTCAGATCAGAACTTTAAAAATTCAGATCAAATTCAATCAGATAAACAATGCCTTATTATTTTTACTAATTACTTATTTTTATTGAAATCATATCAAATTAGAAATAGTTTTAAATATAACTACATTAAAATCGGATGAGTTGAGATCAAACTATTTTTCAATAAAATTAAAACTATTGAGATGAGAAGATGACAAAGGCATCCATCTACAATGGATTATGCTATGTGTACCCCAAAGTTTGTACCCCAATTTGTACCCCGCAGTTTTGCACCAACACTTTGTGTTGGTGTAAAACTAATTTTTGTTAAACGCACCAACATTTGTGTCCGTGTGAATATTTATTAACGCACCAACACTTGTGTCGGTTTAAACCATCGAAATGTTTGTGCAAGCCTGTGGTGTATAAATGGGGTATATTTTTTTGTGTAAGTGTAGCATGGTCCATCTACAATCCCCTACAAAGTGGAAACCTTTTGGGGAGTAATGTGCGACTTTCTGATAACCAACGGGTCATTCGGGAGAATAATTCGAGTTTCCCGACCATAGGCAGGCAGTGGGTACAAACTACCGCCCGGAACCAAATGGAGTAAAGGGTAAACAGCCGCCGCCATTTCAGCTTCCTCTTCGCCGCCGCAATGAGCAACAGGTATCCAATTCCAATTCCTTTCCCGCATTTCGATTGTTCTTCTCTTCCTAGTATGCGCTTCAATTGATTCGGTTTGATCGAGACTATAAATGTGTATGGCATTACATAGTAAGAGGAGAATTAGAGCATTCCAAAAATGGATGAACTGGAAAGGCATAGAGTGCAGCGACGCCTTGGAGCTCGTCGAGGAGGGATCCTCCATGTTTGTCAGAGCGGTCGGCGATCTACACGAAGGCGACGTGGTGGCAAAAATCCCCAAGGAGAGCTGCTTGACGATCAAAACTTCCGGTGCTCGGCGAGTGATTGAGGAAGCCCAGCTTGACGGATGCTTAGGCCTGGCTGTAGCTCTCATGTATGAACGGAGTCTTGGCCCACTTTCCCCTTGGTTTGGTTATCTTCACCTCCTGCCCCATTCCGAGCCTATTCCCTTGCTCTGGCCACTCTCTGAAATCAGCTCTCTTCTTGCTGGCACTGAACTCCACAAGGTAATCTCACCATTTCCTTTTTTTTAAATCTGTTATTTTACTCGCAATTGTAATTTTAATTTTGGTTTTTGTGAATTCAAAACTGCTTGAATTTTTGTAGGTACATTCATGGTAAATTTGATTGACATCATTACACTGATTTTAATGATTGAAATAGACCTAAGCATCAGTTGATAGTCTTCTATGGAAATGGTAAATAATGCTAAAACTAGATACACACCGGGACACCCCGTTTTAGTTGCTTCGGGAACTACGTTCCACTCTTCATGGCATATGAAATCCGCCACTTTTAGTAGCAATTTGCCAATTTCTAGTAGTAACTCTTTTTCTTGATAGACAACACACTAGATTGAGTAAGTGGACTTCATGATGGTACTAGCCATATTGACCAGGAAAACATGTGTGCTTTGGTTTATACCAGCACAGTTGCATGTAAGATTCTTAGTGGGGTCCTTAAATGCTATGACTGTTTGGCCTTGTTATGCCTAGTTTCTGTGTGTGACCGTGCTGGTATTCTTGAGGGCAGATAATTAAAGAAGACAAGATTCTCATTCACGAGGACTGGAAAGAGTGCATCCAACCTCTTTTGAGCAATTCTTCCCTGAAGCTTAACCCAGCATATTTTGGCATTGAAGAATATTTTGCTGCCAGAAGTCTTATTGCATCTAGATCATTTCAAATTGATGGTTACCATGGATTCGGGATGGTTCCCCTTGCAGACCTGTAAGTTACATCATTGCTGATATTTCTTAAGTTGGCCCCCCTAGCTAATTCACTTATTTTCTGTATGCAAAAGCTTAGAACGTATTTTCTAAAATTAATGTGAAAATATGGTAGAATCTAACATCAATCTACTTCATAACGCTTCATAGTCTGAACCATGAGCAGATTCTCAAGTGACCAAGGGCAGCTTTCTCTGCGAGATGACCGTAATATATATGCAGCCTTAGAGCGAGTTTCCACCATCACCTATCCAAGCCCGACCTCACATCATTGCTCCAGCCCTTCTGAAATAGCTTTAAACTCAGCATACAAAAGACAGTTTTAATTGAAGGTGCAGAAGGCACTCACAAAATATCATTTTGCATTCCTAACATTGTTTTCTGAGGCGATAGAGAAGAGACACAAATGCAGTTTGACACTCAGATTAAGCCTCAGTGGCGTAAGCCTCTAAGTCCATACCCTATATGTGTAGAAGGCCTGGAACCCTCTTCCATTGGCTTCAGAAGGTTCATCTTAGCCCATTCCAAGTGAATGCATGGCAAAAGGGCCATTCCTTCAGAGAGGAGTTTTTTTTATACCTTGGAGGAACTTGGAAGGTCTCGGGATCCCAGATATGCCAAAAGTCTCGAACATGCCTTCCTTGTATCTAGAAGGGTGTCACTGAGCTTTACTAAGCCTTTCCAGGTCAGGAAGTCCCTTGTGCTGATCAGAATAGTTTTTTTGTGACTTGGAGATTTGGAAGATCTTGATTGCTAGCACAACAAGATAACATGTCTAGGCCATGGCTCACCAGTTTGCATAGAAGTGAAGCAAGGTCATTTGAGAATATATTTCCGATAATACTCATCGACTTACTTCAATACCTCATCAATATGGTTCTTGTCGTATGTTTTAGTGTATATGTAGACTAGTTCCCTTATGTGTACTATTATCTGTGAATCCTTTTGCTGCGTGTCTCGTTATCTTACTAATTTTTCCTTTTAGCATATTTTGTAGATTATTTTTATTTTTAGACTAGGGTCTTTCAAAAACACTCTCTTTACTCCTTAAGGGTAGATTAAAGGTCTGCATACTACATTCTACCCTTCCCTCCTAGGCCATCACTTTTGGGACTACATCGAGTTTGTTGTTGTTGTTGTTGCAAGTTTTACATGAAGAGACAATTGGAGGGATCAGTAGAGGTGATTTCGGAGTGGAGTGATCTCAGGAAAGAAACATGGTTGTATGGGTAGACAAGGTTGTGGCCGTCAACAAATTGAAGGTCATGGACGTTGTGAGAGAGAAAAAGCAAAACAATAAGGGCAAGCCGGCAAGGAAAAGAGAAAATAACATCGGGTTTGTGAAGATAATTTGGATGTTCCTAGTTTCTCCCTGATGATTAAGACATTGATCTTGATCTCAATAAGGATGTAAACGGTGGAGGGAATTCTATTGGTTTTTATCCAAATTCAAGCTACTAATATGACCCTCTTTTTCATTCTTCAATCTAGTGCACATTCGTCTTCTCAAAGGCATTCCATTTTAAGTATTATTCATCTTTTATAAGTTGGGTGGTCCTCGTTGACAACATGAATTCGTACGCAAGATACCGAATTGGATTCAAGTGTGCAATATTTCATCTTGCGTCATGCTTGAAGTGTCTAACTATATGTCATGAAGGGGTTATGACATTGTGGTTGTTGGATTATACTCCCTCCGTCTTGCTGGGATTCCAGTTGACTTTTCTGTGTTCATTCACTGAAACCCTCTTTTTCCGCTCTTTCTTGTGATGCACCATCTCTGTTTTAAGATTCAAGAATATCACGTCCTTTTTTTAACCCTTCAATGTAAGCCATTTTTGCTCTACTACAGTCTCTCTTCACGTCTCCAACACCCTAAGACTCCATCTATATCTGCTCTCCCCACTCTCTTAAATCTTGCTCATTGCACATTCTTTCTTTCTAGTTTTGTTGGACATCACTAATCTCTGTCTTTTGTTCTTAAGACAAGGTCTTCCGGAAAACCCTTCTCTACCTTTTTCCAGAAGGGGTAAGGTCTGCATTACCCACCCCCAAGGACCCTCTTTGTGGGAATATAATGGGTATGTTGTTTAGAGGCTATGCAGTTCCTGCGTCAAACTGTCATCTTGTTCCTTGAGTCTGCCTGCATTTGGTCTGGAGTTCATATTTCAGTCCTGTATCTTTCCATTAATCTAAAGTGTTGTCCTCTAGCACTGATTGAATGTTCTGTTGTGCAGTTTCAACCACAAGACTTGTGCTGAGGATGTGCACTTCACATCCATATCCTCCTACTCTGATTCAGATAGTGATGTGGATGATAAGAATAGTAACAATGAGTACCAACATGACAGTACTCACGAACCAACTAATCAAAATATATGTTCAGAAGGAGAATATTTGAGCGGGGGTGACTTAGATTCTTCTTCAGTGGCAGGGGATGATCCTGCAGTTCTAGAAATGATCATGGTAAAAAATGTGAAAGTTGGATATGAGGTAAGTAATGATTTTCTTGCAAACTGAAATTGAATAGTGCATCATTGATATTACTGCAATGTGAAAATTAAACTTCTCCATCCGTCCCAAACTAAGGCTCCTCTTTACTATTCACATTGTCATACTACATCTTTCTTTATGCATTTTCATCGATGGTTTGATGAAATAAAATAGTCATGTCACCACTTGTTTTGTTGAACTTTTGATGTAGTTTTTAAATATATACTCTGTAATTCTTATTTTTAAATTATATGCCAATTTTCAAATATGTTGAATTGAAAATAACTTTCGTCATAAACCAACACATGAGCCTTATTTTGGGACGGAGGGAGTATATATAATAATACTGGTTGGTTTTGAATTTCAATTTGGCTTGAGCACGTTTACTACTATAGTTGATGTGTCACTTAATCACCATCGACGCTACCCATTAGTCCATCGTAAACAATAAACTATTTTTTAGTGTATTGTGTTGTGTATGTGTGTTGAGAATTGACAAATATGTGTGATTTTATATTCAAACGATGCATATCTCCATGAATTTCTTGATTTTAGGTATTTAATACATATGGATGCCTCGGCAATGCTGCATTGCTTCATAGGTATGGATTCACAGAGCCAGATAATCCATATGATATTTTGAACATAGACCTTGAACTGGTGCTTCAGTGGAGCTCTTCTGAGTTCTCATCTCGCCACAGCCGGAGGAGGGTTTCACTGTGGAGGAAGCTGGCTTATTCTGGATGCGTCAGCCAAGACACTGAATATTTTGAAATCTCATTCCACGGCGAACCACAAACCGAGTTGATAATTTTGATTTACTTATTGTTGGTTTCAGATGAAGTTTATGATGAGGCACATCTTGCTGTGTCGACCACGTGCGATGTTGGCAAATCCTGGGAGCTCTTTTTATCAACGAAAGGAGTTTCATTTGACAAGGGATTATTAGAACTTGGTAACCGTTCGCTCCTCGACGTACGCGTTTGCATGGCTCTTTTGTCGCTAGCGGATATGCGGGAGAGTTTATATGGTTCGGAGTCTCTGACTGATGATATTAATGCGCTGGGGGGGTGTTCTTGGCTGACCCAACCTAAACTGTATCATTCGCTAGTTCTGCGTATAAGTGAGAGGAAGATCATTCAAAAGTTAAGAAACTATGCTTCAGACCGCCAAGAAAGGTACTAAAGGAAGAAGGTAAATACAAGATATATGCATGTAGAATCAATCAAGCCACCAGGTTGAAGTCTTGCTCTGCTGATATTCTTCTTATATGGCTCTTTATTTATTTTTGGTAATGGAAGGATTTACGTCTTGCTATTCAAGCAATGTTCTAAACAATGCCAGGGGAGTGGGGTGTGATAGAGATGTAGTGTCTGTGGGCCTGTGCGGAGCATAGGCGGGCCTTGGTTGGGCCAATGCAGAAATAAATCTTTGCGACTAGCTCAAAGTGATTTATTGCCTTAACATGCATTCTAATGTTTGGCATTATAATCACTTCGAGATTTCTACACATTTATTCTAATGCCCCTCTTTTTTTTACGGTTCCTACTTTCGAGTCAAACTGAACAAATTTTAATTATCAATTACTCTCAAATTGTATTTATTACTCTTATGTTTATTTATTTTTTTATTGCTAATATTATATTTATTAATACTACAAATAAAATTTTAATAATTCTCAACAAGATGAATCAAATGAAGTAATTTTTATATTAATATAATTTATACTCCCTCCGTCCCCAATTTGATTACAAATTGCGGGTTACGGAGTAAAATTTCCTACATTTTGAAATCATTTTATTTACAAATTGGTATATCACTAAGATATAAAAATTACATATTAAAAAACTACGTTAAAAGTTCTACAAAACAAGAGGTGACAAGAATATTTTATTTTATCAAATACTTAATGAAATCACGTAAAGACACAAAAGTTATCGAGAGGAGAGAAAAAAATTGTAATCTATTTAGGGACGGAGGGAATATAAGTTTACAATATTCATTTATTTGAGATCTAAAGTTCACCCATTTTGACTCCAAAAACTGAAATTGGAAAATGTAATGAGACGAAGGTAATATTTATTCATGTAATATTTTTTTTATTTTTAGTAAAAATATGTTTGTTTTATTTTTTATTTAATTTAGATGATTAAATAAATAAAATAATAATAATCCTGTAATTATGAGAAGGAGCTCTTTGGCTACACCATTTTTGGCCAATGAACGCCATGATAAGGTGGTTGTCACATATCAACTCATGCTTTTCTTGGGACCTTCAATTATATTACACTCAATATTACGGAGTAGGAGAAAGGAGTAAAAAGAAAAAAAAACAATTTAGTTTTATTCATAATTAAGTTTGTTACTCAACCAGCAGGTTTAGGGTTCCAAGCTGGTACAAAAGTTTGTTAGTTTGTTGGTGAAAAAAATCTAGAGGTATCCGAACCGGTGTATGCCAAATAATTTAAAAAAATACACTCATCTGTAAATTTAAAAAAAAAAGGCGAAGTACTACTCATTGCCATAAACTTTTAGTTAGAAAATAGATTTGAATTTTATATGGAAAAACGGTCAACTTTCACCCATCATTCTGTCTAATTCACTCGGTCCACCGTGTTCCAACAACTCTAAAACTAATGCCCTTTTCTAGGAGAATATATTTTTGAACATTAAGCGAGCATTCAAAAATAAGGCCGGGAAATAAAAATAGGCATCAGTGGACCATGAAATTGGCTAATCGATTAGGCTTGGTGCCAAATTCGAGTTCAACTGCGCATGCATGCTTCGAGAGCAAACAGTTGTAGTGTTTTTGCTCAAAACCCAAACACTAGAATCCCAATGTCATTCTAAAATGGTAGTGCAATGAATAGAGTGGATAAACTGGCTACCCCAGACAGACCCACAATCATCTTCCAATGCATAGTTAAGAAAAATAAATAGGAGTTCAAATCTGAAGATGTCTTGATGGAATCTCTAATAGTTTATCATATCATATATTAATAGAAACACTTATCTTCTCCCCAAGGTTCAGATAGAGAGCGCACAGAGTTACTTCATCAGCTTAGCCAAGGCAGCATTCAACCCTTCCTTGGCAGCAACCTCCTCTTCCTCGTGCCTGCGCTTCATCTCATCCATTTTCGCCTGGTGTCGCTGTTTCATCTCATCCTCTTCCATCTGGCGCCGACGCCTCAACTCTTCGTAAGCTTCCATCAGCTTCTGCTTATGTTCCCCGGAGTGCCCCTTTTCCAGGTTCAGAGACTCGAAATATTTCGCCAGTTGGTCAGCTCTGATTCAAATCCATCAATTAATACACATTCGAATGCAGACACGGTAAAAAAAATGAGGAGACAAAAAGACTAGAAAAATATGGAGTTACGGTGAAGGTTTTTAAGGCACAAGTCGCTAAGGCCATTTTTTTTACCTTCGTTGATCATCCACAAGAGAAGAATTTGGATTATTAGAACCCCCAGCAATCTTGGCATCATGTATGCTCTGCAGCTTTTCCTTGATGAAACTGTCCAGATAATCCATCTGAAGAGAGAAACAAAAAACAGAGGGTAGTATGATGCAATTTCACCCAAAAAAAAGTGGGTGGATGAAAATCTGAACCCCATCAAAGAACAAGGAATAAACATTGTCACAATAGCAAACTACACCCCCCGTTTTGCAAAAGAGTTCCATTTTAGACTTGGAAAATCGAAGGAGCGTATTTTGTAGCTAACTTTCCAATTTTTCCTTGTATGTGATGCATAAAAGTAGGATGTGATGGGTAGATTAATAGTGAAGAGATGATGTGATAGGTTCGGTAAAGGTTAGTAGGGGTAAAATAGACTTTTTAATGGAAAGCGGAATGTTTTATGGGAAGAATGAAAAGTGAAAGTGGAATTGTTTTGTTAAACAGAGAGAGTATAAAAATGAACTAAACAATAGGATCATATTTATTTAGATCAAAAGCAAGAGAATTCAAGATTCATACTCTTCTATCACAGCATATGGGGAAATCAAAGACAACAAGATAATGTCAATGGCAATACTTTTGGAGAATTAGAAATCGTTAAGTCCATTTAAGCACTATGATTCTTTTCACACCAAGCCAAGATAGATGTCATACTATGACACCGAGGCATACGGTGCTTTGTTTGGCCCCAAACCCATCCCTAATTCCCTACCCCCCCAATCAAACCCTCAGCCCCCTGGCAATGTAGCCAAATGGCATGAGCAAGCCCCTCCGCCCTAGGCCGCCAACAACCCCCTACGCTCCACCCCTGAACCCATCCCCATGCCAGATGGAGCACCATAGGGGGCCCCGTATGGCATTGCATCATATTTTGACATCCAAGACCATTGTCAAAAGAACTATACAATATATATGCGTGGAGCATCAAAAATCACCTAGCACTCTAGGAGTAACTACTTATCATATAGTACTTTGTGCACCTGTCAATGTGAAGTACTTGGGAACAAAGATTTTGAAGAACACTATATACAATTACCGCATGATCTGGAAGCATTTTACTTCCCTTTTGTTTAAAACTCAGGACCAAAAAAGACAGTTCATCAGTCTTCATAAAAGAGATGTTTACAATACTATTTTTAGAATAAGCACGAATCTTTTTCTTGACAGGAGTAACAATTTCAAAAAAGCATTGTTTTCAAAGTGGACAGCCATATTTTGAAGATAATGGATAACCAAAACAGAAAAAAACGGTTATGTTGTTTTTGTTTGTCTCCAATTCTTACATTATGACTAAACAAAATTGTCACGGCATCACCCAAAATCACCACCTACTCTTATGACTAAAGAATATTTTTCTTGAAGTGCATACACAAGTAACCATCCAATTTAGCAAACCAAATAAAATGATTATAAAACCATTCGCATATTTTCATTTTAGATTCAAATAAGCATAGCTTTTAAAATGTCCAAGGATGTGATAATACCTCTTCCTTGTTCTGTTCATGGTGAGTTTTTGTTCTTGATATAACAATTTTATTTTGTTCAGCAGTCTCACGATACTTTTCACCCATCACAAGAAATGATTCTTCAAGAGCTTTTGCCTGCCTTTGGTGTTTTTCAGCTTTGTTTTTATACCACAATAGCTGCTGGTTGTCCTCACTCATCTGCTTCATTGGATTCACAACCATCTCTAGATGAGATTTCATTTCAAATCTCAGCTTGGATTTACCTTAGAAACCATGCAGATATTAAAGCATCAGACACTGTATACTTCTAACTCTAGCTGAAAGCATACAGGATTGTAAGCATACCATGTGAATGCTGGTTAAAGGCGTCTAAATCTTTTTTTCCAGCCATGTAGCCATAGAGTTGGCGCTTCCCACCAGCATAAAACAGTACAGGATTTCTTAGCCAGGTTTCCCTGTCTCTTCCCGTATCTGTAAAATGCTTGGCAAGACGCTCAGCCTCAAGGTAGCCTACAGCAGTTTCCTCAAAAATAAGCACACTCATGCCTCGATGGCCTTGTGGCCCATACGAATGCCGGGCCCTGACAGCAGCATAATTGTGGAAGTAATCAACAAGCTCCTGGTTCCCCATTCCTGTCCACTGAGAAATTTCACAAAAAAATGATAAAAGAAAGCAAATGAAAAAAATCATCGTGACAGATTTCTGTAAGTAGTACCTAAATAAAAGATAAATAAACAAGACAAAGTAATTGCAATACCTTGTCCTTATCATCTTTCTCAAGCCTAGTGTTCATGATTATGACCATCGGTGGCCACACTATCTCAAAATCCTTCTCACTGATTCCATTCCAATTTCCGTATGATTCTCCTGCTTTAGAAACGGAAGTGCCCCTTATGTTCATCTCTTCCTGCAATAGTTCAGCAAATTCTTTGTGCAACTTTGCTCGCTTAGACCGTCGTGTTTTGGCATGTGTCATCAGTGGAAGCAAACCTCGAAACCATTCAATAGCACCTGGACCCCCTTTGCAAGCAGGACAATGCCATTGTCTTTCAGGGTCATTCAGCTCTTCATTCACCAATTTATCAGTACTATCAAAAAACTTCTTGAACCAGGGATTCTGCTTGCGTGTCTCAAAACTCTTTTCGCTTTCATCTGAGTCAAAACCATCACTTAGTAACTCGTCATCAGTGTCATCAAGCATATCGTCATCCTCATCATCTTCTACTTCTGTTACATTGTTAACCGCTTGATTGTCTGCTGAGGCTGGATGATTGTGGTTGTTTGGTATGTTTCCAGGGCCATCTTTAGGAGGTTGAGTGGGAGCCAATAGAGCAGACCAAGTCCTCCCATGCTGTAGGGGAGTTGAAGTATCAGGAGGAAACCTTCCATTGCCTCTTCCCACCAAAGGTCTTCTAGGATCTGTGTTGCTGACAGAACCTCTTCCTGCTCCGCCATTCCATGCTTTAGGTGCTGAAGGAGCAGCGGGATTTTGGGGAGCACAATAATTTGTACCACTACTTCCAGTTTTGTTCTTGGATTTCTTAGCATACATCTCCCAACCATCATCGCGCGGCACTAAACCAGATGTACCAGAACCAGAAGGGTTCTTACCCCCCTTAGTTGAACTCATCATTGAATGGTACCACTTCACAGCATAAAA